ATACAATTAAAAAAATAAATATGATGACATTATTTTTTCGAACCAAAAAGAAATATTTTTCCTCAATATCTTGTTTTGTTGTCGCTTTGATTTATAAACCGCTACACGGACTTGTGTGATTTTGATATCATTTGATTCACCATCGTGTTTAGATAATGTAGATATTTTTAAATTAATTTTTAGGTGTGTGTGTATGTCATTAATATAATGAAAATATTGATGTAATCTGCTATATTTTTTTTATTTTTTTCATATTTCGCGAATATGTGCAACTTTATCGTGATTATTATAATATACTCATATTCTTATTTTACGGAGGAAGATATATATCAACGTTTTTGGTCAATGTAATAAACGGCGTAATTTTAAGATTTTTTTCTTATGCACAAAATTAAAACCTCGATAACTTTTGCGCGCATCAACCAAAAATTTGATCGTGAACGGTTTCGGAGTCAGAACATTTTTCTCTATATGTGTACCAAAAATCATTGATGTGCCACAAAAACAAAAAAGCTGATTTTTTGAAAATGGAATATTAAAAAATTGGCAATATTGCCCATATATGTTTTTATTTGCGTAATTGGGATATTAATTTTAATTTTTAGGTTTAATTTTAATTATTAAGATTTAATTATTATATTATTTGTCATAAGAATCAATGTTGTGTAGATTGCTTGTACCAATACAAAATGGGCTAGATAGCCTGGTAACAAGTCTTTGAAAATAAATAATAAATAAAAAAAATAAATATTAATGCACCTAACTATGACTTTCAGTTAATGGCGATAATTATTAAAACACCCAGTTGATGTTGCCTGAGTTTTGAGTCTGAGTGTGATTGATTACTAAAAAATAATTAGTGCATATAAAAAGTTGGTTTTTTTCAGTTGTTTTGTCTTTGTTTTTTTTGTTCACACCTAATTCCTGTTAATTATATTGCAAATGCAACCATGTAATCATTTAAAATTATCTTTTTAGAGTTGAGTTTTTTTTTGCGATTTCTTTAGTGTGATTTTAGAAACTGTTTATTAGACATTGATTTGTGTGAGTTTTGAAATTTTGAAAATTACAATATTTTTTAAGTTGTAAAGTGATCTAAGGAAATACCACTACATTGCCAAAGAAATAATGAGAGATACAGGGTTAACTGTTTAATAGAAACTGAAGCAACTAATAAGAATAACAGCAGAGTCAGGCGGTCGAATTTAATATGAGGACTGCTATATATATTTTTGGCATTGATAACATTATTTGTAGTCTATATTATTGGGAAATATGATTTTTGCACTCCATGTACCCGAAATGCCCAATTATAGCTACTTTATGGGAAAAATTCGACGAATGAGGCCGACATTCTAAAGCATTTTTATACCCTTCACCACACTGTGGTACAGGGTATTATGTCTTTCTGCATATGTTTGTAACAGGACAAAGAAAACGAGATAGACACATGGTTCCTTTTGAGAATATGCATAGAATCACTTTCTGAGTCGATTTACGCATATCCGTCTGTCCGTCCGTCCATGTCTTTTTGTGAACAAAGTACAGGTCGCATTTATGATCCGATTTGGATGAAATTTGGCATAGGTCACTTATTTGGCCCAATGACGAACCCTATTGAAATTGAGAAAAATCTGTTTAGATTTAGATATAGCTCCCATATATGAGGCCGACATTCTAAAGCATTTTTATACCCTTCACCACACTGTGGTACAGGGTATTATGTCTTTCTGCATATGTTTGTAACAGGACAAAGAAAACGAGATAGACACATGGTTCCTTTTGAGAATATGCATAGAATCACTTTCTGAGTCGATTTACGCATATCCGTCTGTCCGTCCGTCCATGTCTTTTTGTGAACAAAGTACAGGTCGCATTTATGATCCGATTTGGATGAAATTTGGCATAGGTCACTTATTTGGCCCAATGACGAACCCTATTGAAATTGAGAAAAATCTGTTTAGATTTAGATATAGCTCCCATATATATTTTCGTCCGGTTTAATGTAAATGGTGCACCAAAGCCCCTATATATCTCTCGATTAGCACGAAATGTGGCACAGCGTAATGAATTAGGTCTAGAATGATGTGTATTAAGTTTCCTGAAAATCGGTTTAGATTTAGATATAGCTCCCATATATATTTTCGTCCGATTTAACGTAAATGGTGCACCAAAGTTCCTATATATCTTTCGATTTGCACGAAATTTGGCACAGCGTAATGAATTAGGTCTAGAATGATGCGTATTAAGTTTCCTGAAAATCGGTTCAGATTATATATAGCTCCCATATATATTTTCGTCCGATTTAATGTAAATGGTGCTCCAAAATCCCTTAATATCTTTCGGTTTGCACGAAATTTGGCACAGCAATATAACACATTTGAAATACCAAACATTCTAAGAAATCTTTAAAAATTTTCCAAGACTGGAAAATTTTATGTCAGATCCACCGTTTCCGGTAGTCCCCATATAACGATACCCCCAATTTAGATTAGGCGAGTTTACTTGCGGCAAGTCTTTGTTTGTAGGAGAGAGGAGCAAGGGGAATAGAAATGGAAAAAAATTGCTCGTACCGACAATTTTCTGGCAATCCGTTTTGTGTATTTTGTTTGTTGTGTCAGTAATTTGAAATAACCATCCAGAACATTGTCACAAAATGTAATTTTTTTTTTTTTTGAAACCGAATTGGCTTGTATAGGCGCATGAAGCAAGTTCAAAAGAGAACGATAAAAATTGCCGCAAGTATACCCGACTAATATAAATCAGGACTAACATATTGTTTTCTGCCAAACTAATATGAAAAAATAGGGACATGGCTCTGAATATTCTAACTTTTAGTAGAACGTGAGCCAGGAGGGAGAGCAGTTAATAAAAAAAATATGAAAAAATCAGCTTCCATGCTAACGATTAAAAATTAAGGAATCGATGCAATTTATCGATCAATATGGAGTGACTGAATCTATCAAAAGCCTTCTCAAGGTCCAGGGACAGTTACTCTCCACAACCACCAACAATATTTTCTACATTGTCAGTCAAGCCGACAAGCAGGGATGTCATACTACGATTACGTCTAAATCCGTATTGGCTATCATGCAATAGTGATCGCTCATTAATATAACCAACCATTAATCCATTTTTAATCCAACAGCATGCCAATTCAATTTCCAATGTCATCTAAACTTTGCAAATTTTAATAAAACCTGTTTTTAATTCCATACACATCCGCAAACCATATCGGTCGGCAACACCGACTGACTCTTTTTACTTGTTATTAAGCAGTTTGTGGTGTATATATGTTTTCTGAGACCATTAATAACATAATAACCATGCCCTTAAACGAAAAAGAATAATAAATCCAACAAAAATGTTGAGTTGTCAAAGTCCAAGTTTCGATTTTAACAGAAAAAATATAACTTAAGGGAAAACGCATTTGAAGTTTTAATCTTACAAATTCCTCCAAAAATGTTCCATCCTTGGGTTTTTTCGTTTGAGTCACTCGACCATGAAATTTTCTTGAAATCCATAATCTGGATCTATCTATTAATAGGGTTACCCAGCAAGCGAAATTCAGTTGTTTCTTCCAAGAGTAATGTTAATATTTATTAATAAGGTCTCCTAGCAGCCACTACTTACTGGCAACATACTCGAAAAACAATTATTACAAGTAACATATTGTTTTTTCTCACGAGTAATGTCAAGATTTATTAATAAGTCTCCTAAAGTTCGTTTACATTTAACCGGATTTGGTTAAACCAGTGGGTTTAAATTTTCAATTCCTTTGAATATATGCCAAATAAATCCTAATAAAGTAGGTTAACCCGGTAAAAAGTTCTAATGTAAATGCCGTACTAGCTACCGAATGTCAGCTGTTTTTCTCATGTCTAATAACCATGTCCTTTAACGAAAAAGAATAATAAATCCAACAAAAATGTTGAGTTGTCAAAGTCCAAATTTCGATTTTAACAGAAAAAATATATCTTAAAGGGAAAACGCATTTGAAGTTTTAATCTTACAAATTCCTCCAAAAATGTTCCATCCTTGGGTTTTTTCGTTTGAGTCACTCGACCATGAAATTTTCTTGAAATCCATAATCTGGATCTATCTATTAATAGGGTCACCCAGCAAGCGAAATTCAGTTGTTTCTTCCAAGAGTAATGTCAAGATTTATTAATAAAGTCTCCTAGCAGCCACTACTTACTGGCAACATACTCGAAAAACAATTATTACAAGTAACATATTGTTTTCTGCCAAACTAATATGAAAATTCAGTAGTTTCTTCTCAAGAGTAATGTCAAGATTTATTAATAAGGTCTCCTAGCTACCGAATGTCAGCTGTTTTTCTCGAGCCTAATGTCAAAAATTTGGACTTTGTTTAAACTTTTTTCCTATTCAATTCAATTCAGCAATACATAAGCAGCTTCTCAAGTTTGCTTTTAAAATACATTATTGTACATTGACTTTCATTATGAAAACGTAAACAAATTAAAAATTGTTTGACATTGGACCTGAGAAAAAGCAACTGACTTTCGCTTGCTGGGTGACCTAATTAATAATACTTGCTTCACCAAATATTTGTTTAAATTTTTTTCCCATTCAATTCAATTCAGCAATACATAAGCAGCTTCTCAAGTTTGCTTTTAAAATACATTATTGTACATTGACTTTCATTATGAAAACGTAAACAAATTAAAAATTGTTTGACATTGGACCTGAGAAAAAGCAACTGACTTTCTCTTGCTGGGTGACCTAATTAATAATACTTGCTTCACCAAATATTTATCATGAACCAATGATACATATGATGACAAAAAGTGCCTGCGGCTGTATAGCTACGGATGGAATCATTGCATATTGATTTGTTGTTAGTTAAGAAGAAGAAATCTAAACAACATATGGTTCTAGCATATGGTAAACTTTTTGCTTATTTACGGAATGAAAAGCTTGTGGCACAAATAAGAATCCCATTCATAAAATTCATTAGTTTTCCCCCCGCGGTATAAATGAGCTTCGACGATTCTATTTTAGAAAATATTAAGACTCAACACGAGTCCGATGACGATGGTGAAGCATTTATGGAAGTATTAGGTAGATTTAATGAGCCTGAATGTAATTTTAACTATGACCCTCTATACCAAGGGACCGATGTGGAAAAAAAGGAGTTCAAATGGCACTGTGATATGACTCAATTCCTTACACCGTATAAAGCCGAGGATGATGCCAAAGCTGTATGTAATAGAAAAATAGTGAAGACAGAATTAAAATCCTCAAATGGAAGAGTATGGAACAAGGTAAAATCTAAACAATATACTTTTATATCGGTATTTCACATACCGTTATTGTTCCCAGATTGCCCCAATACCGACGGTTGCCGATGAGTTTGTAGAATGTTTTCCAACTGGAAAAGGTAATCATTGTCGATTTACAATCGTACCGTTTTGACCATTGATTTCCACTAATAGGACCAGCTAAAAATGTTGCAAGTATTCTCGAAGCTTGGCATCTCATTTTCGACGTTTCAATGCTAAGCCAAGTAGTTAAAAGCACAAATGAAGAAATAAAAGCCATCAAACGGAAAGAATCATATCAGAAACGTTTAACAGATATGACGGAGATGCGAGCATGGTTGGGATTGAACTATTTATGTGGCGTTCTTAGAAATACTTTATATCCAGGAGCCATAGAGGAGTTGTGGACATTGGAGCTTGGAAATGCGATTTTCAGGGCAACTATGACATATAAGCGTTTTGAATACCTAGGCAAATGTTTACGCTGTGTGGAACGGCTTGACAATTGTCAGTTCCCCAATCCTTTGGATGAAGTAGGCGATATGTGGGAGAAATTGGTTATCAACTGTCGATCATACTATGCACCAAGCAATTTCTGTATGATCGATGAACATATTCTGGATTTGACCATGGACGCCCAAAGACCTTTTGATCATATTATCCCTACCCTATGCAATAGTAAAGGTCTTCGCTTTATTACAATGTGCGACGCTAAAACGCTATATGTGTCAAATGCCATAGTAGCAACCCAGAGCAACCCATTGGAAGAGGAAATTTATCAACTAATTAGTGATATTAAAGGTTCAGGAAGGTGTCTATGTATACGTGAACGTTTTGGCTCTATGAAATTAATGCAAAAACTAAGACAGAATAACCTCCAAGTTGTTGGTGCTCTGGAAAATACTAATGATGATATTCCCTCGGAGTTATGCAATAATTCGAGCGGTTTTCAGATGTGGTATTCGAGGCAGGATGCCACAATTATTTGTGGTTTAGATAAAGCAATAACTCCCACCGGGTTAATCTTGACCAACGGACTTTCCCCGCGCTTTGATGGAACTAAACTATACGAAACAGTAAAAAATTCTAATGGGAAAGCATTCGAGCGAATGAGACTATATTCAACAAAAAATTCTATGGTTAAAACCTCATATTCATGGTCATTAGAATTGTTCTATTTTATGCTAGATCTCACGGCTTTTAATGCGTGGACCTTGTATCGTTTATCGGAAAATGGTAATGCTGAGATTGAACATAGGGATTTTCTAAGACAGTTGGGATTATATCTAACTCAGCAACAGTTAAAACAACGCATGCACCCAAACTTAAAAATTCCCCTACCATTGAAATTACAAATAGCTGAAATTCTGGGTGAAAATGTGGACTCTGTACTGGCCACTGCTTCTAGGATAGCAGCGGCAACAAACAAAGTTGGTTCGATAACAACTGGAAACGCAATTGTTCCCGATGGAATTGTACTGCAGTCGAGAGAAATTGACAATAGGAGAAGATGCCGAGGTTGCAAGTCCCGCAATGGTTCAAAAATAAAGACGAGATGTCAACAATGTCTCATACCTTATTGTATGCGCCATTTAATATCCAGATGTGAACAATGTTCTGGGTACAAATTGCCGGAATGTGACGCAGACGCCAATAAAGTGATTGAGCCGCAATCAGCTGATTTAGATGCTTCTCAAGATTAAGATGATAAAAAAACGAAATAAAACATATATTACTAAATGTTTCCTTTTGTTTTTGGGTAGAATGAACATGTCCATGAATTCATGCAAACCAATAGAGCTACAGAGTTCTTTTGATCCAATGACTTTATGAAGATATCAGCTAAATGATTCTTTATTTATATTTGCTTGAATTGGATGTGTTTCTGTACAAAATCTCGAACAAAATTGTGTTTATATCGATATGCTTGGCGCGTTTCTTTTCATTATTTGAAGTGGTGTTTATACTGACAAAATAATGTAACAGCAAGTGTTGTTCAACAAATTATACAACAACCACATGAAAATTTGTTGTAATTAATACTAGTGTCATCGTACTTTAATCAAAATTAATTACACACAGAACCAAGGTATATTAAGAAGGTAACCGTGTAAGTCCTGATTTAGATTAGGCGAGTTTACTTGCGGAAATTTTTATCGTTCTCTTTTGAACTTGCTTCATGCGCTATACAATTACACACAGAACCAAGGTATATTAAGAAGGTAACCTTATAATTCTGATTTAGATTAGGCGAGTTTACTTGCGGAAATTGTTATCGTTCTCTTCATGCGCTATACAAGGCAATTCGATTTCAAAAAAATATATTTTTTTACATTTTATGGCAATGTTCTGGATTGGTATTTCAAATTACTGACACTACAAACAAAATACACAAAACGAATTGTCAGAAAATTGTCCGTACGAGCAATTTTTCTATTCCCTCCCTTGCTCCTCTCTCCTGCAAACAAAGACTTGCCGCAAGTAAACTCGCCTAATCTAAATTGGGACTAAAACCAGCTAATGGTAACATTATTGGTCTGCTCCCGTACTGCAAGAATATACTATTTTTTACTACGATAAAACTTTTTTCCTTTATGGTATCGAAAAAAATAGTAAAAACTCGTAGATTCTGGCAGTACGAGAACGCAGCAAACTATACTACTCCATTTAACAAGATTTCTTAATGATATCTTAGAAGGTATTATTCTAAAAATAATATATTTCAATGTTTGGCAAGTGGCTAACTACTCAAGTAAGTGTATTAATATCACATATTCAATATTTAGTAATAAACAGCATTGTATAAAATATAATAATTTAAATTTGTATATTATAAAAAAAGATGACGACGATAAAACTTTTTTCCTTTATGGTATCGTAAAAACTCGTAGATTCTAGTACGGGAGCAGTTTACTTGCGGCAATTCTTATCGTTCTCTTTTGAACTTGCTTATCGTTCTCTTTGAACTTGCAATTCGGTTTCAAAAATATTTTTTTTTTTTTTTTTGACATTTTGTGACAATGTTCTGGATTGGTATTTTAAATTACTAACATTACAAACAAAAGTTCCGTTCCAGAACCTAAAAGAATCTACTTATTTTACAAGTTTTGCAACTTTATTCTCGAAAACCGTTCCTGAACCCACAAAACTGGTAAAACATTGAATCAAATTTAAGAGAGCACAAAACAAAATGGCTTTCTCTCGAGAAATTTGGCCGAGTAAAAATGGTAAACAGGAATGCCTACTTCTGATTGGCTGTTATGTTGATTTTGAAGTATTGCCATCTAATTTTGGCATATTTACTAGATTTGCGTTCCCGAACTTGTCCAATTATTTTGTGCTCTGAGAGTTATTTTGAAATGTATCCCTTTTACCAGCTTTACTATGAAAAAAAGTACTGGAACAGACCAAAAGTACACAAAACGAATTGCCACAAAATTGCCGGTACGAGTAATTTTTTTCAATTTCTATTCCCCTTGCCCCTCTCTCCTGTAATCAAAGACTTGCCGCAAGTAAACTCGCCTAATCTAAATGGGACGTACTTTTGAACGAATTCGCCTTTTGGAGGAGCTGATATGTTGACCACGGCCTAGTTATAAATTTTGACATTATGTTCCCATTTTTTTTTCAAATAAATTGTTTAATTTTTTCAAGATGATATATCTATACTAATAAAAGAGTAAAGTGATTGACTGACTGACTGATTTAACGATTCATCAACGCCCAGACGAAACGGCTGAAGCTAGAATCTTGAAATTTTGGGTGAGGGTCACTCTTGGCCCAAATGTGACAGATAAGGCTGGGTTTTTGGAAATTCGTACTAGAAGGGTACGAAAAGTACTAAAAAGTACTAAATATGATATCATTTGTATTTGGCGAACCAGTAGAGCTAGAACTCTGAAATTTGGATTGAGGGTCACTGATGGAGTGTAGGATAGCTGTACCAAAGGGTTTTTGGAAATTCGAACTACAACTATCCGAAATGTACGAAAATGTACTAAATTTGGTACAATTCTGTAGCATGAGAACGGATAGAGCTAAACACTTGAAATTTGGAATGCGAATTAGGGTTGGGAAGTAGGGTCGATATAAGGAGATGGTTTTGAAATCGTGTACTCATGTGTACGAAAAGTACTATATGGTACTATATTTGGTACAAATTTGATTTGGAGGTACAAATGGAGCTAGAATCCTGAAAATTGAAAGTGACATTACCGTCGGAGTATAGGATTGTGATATGTACGTAGTTTTGGAAAAAGTACGAAAAGAAGTGTACGAAAAGTACTAAATCGTACTATAATTGGTACAATTTGGATTTGGGTGAACCGATAGAGCTGAAACAATGAAATTTGGAGTTAGGATCATTTTAGGGGTGTAGGATTGGGGTCAGGACTCAGTTTAATACATTATTACTTATGGGTACTAAATGGTACTAAATTTGGTGCAATTTGAATTTTAGGTGAACCAATTGAGCTAGAATCATAAAATTTGGAGTCAGGATCACTGTCGAGGTGTAAGATTGAGATATGCAGGAAGTTTTAAAATTTTGTACTTATGTGTACTAAATTTGGTACAATTTGAATTGTGGTTGAACCGATACAGTTGGAATCCTGAAATTTAGATTTTGGAGCACTGTGGGGGTGTTGGTTTGGGTTCAGTTGGAAGTTTTTGAAATTCGTACTAAATGGTACTAAATTTGGTACAATTTGAATTTTGGGTGAACCAATAGAGCTAGAATCATGAAATTTGGAGTCAGGATCATTGTTGAGGTGTAAGATTGAGATATGTAGGAAGTTTTAAAAATTTGTACTAATGTGTACTAAATTTGGTACAATTTAAATTGTGGGTGAACCAATGGAATTGGAATCCTGAAACTTAGATTTAAAATCACTGTGGGGGTGTAAGATTGAGAAATGTAGGAAGTTTTAAAATTTTGTACTAATGTGTACTAAATTTGGTACAATTTAAATTGTGGGTGAACCAATGAAATTGGAATCCTCAAATTTGGATTTAGGATCACTGTGGGGGTGTTGGTTTGAGTTAAGTACGAAGTTTTGGAAATTCGTACAACTGTGTACTAAATTTGGTACAATTTGAATTATGGGTGAACCGATAGAGTTCGAATCCTGAAATTTAGATTTTGGAGCACTGTGGGGGTGTTGCTTTGGGTTAAGTTGGAAGTTTTTGAAATTCGTACTAAATGGTACTAAATTTTGTACAATTTGAATTTTAGGCGGACCAATGGAGCTAGAATCAGAAATTTGGAGTCAGGATCATTGTTGAGGTGTAAGATTGAGATATGCAGAAATTTGTGCTAATGTGTACTAAATTTTGTACAATTTATGTTGTGGCTGAAGCGATAGAGTTGGAATCCAGAAATTTAGATCTACGATCACTGTGGCGGTGTGGGATTGGGTATTTATGAAGTTTTGGAAATTGGTACTACTGTGTACTAAATTTGGTACAATTTGAATTGTGGGTGAACAGATACAGTTGGAATCCTGAAATTTAGATTTTGGTTTGGGTTAAGTTGGAAGTTTTTGAAATTCGTACTAAATGGTACTAAATTTAGTACAATTTGAATTTTAGGTGAACCAATAGAGGTAGAATCATGCAATTTGGAGTCAGGATCACATTTGAGGTGTAAGATTGAAATATGTAGGAATTTTTAGAAATTTGTACTAAATTTGGTACAATTTAAATTGTGGATGAACCGATAAAGTTGAAATCGTGAAATTTTGATTTAGGATCACTGTGGGGGTGTAGGGTTGGGGTATGTAGGAAGTTTTAGAAATTTGTACTAAGTGTACCAAATTCGGTACAATTTAAATTGTGGGTGAAGCGATAGAGTTTGAATCCTGAAATTTTGATTCAGAATCAGGTGTAGGATTGGAGTATGTAGGAAGATTTGAAAATTGGTACTAATGTGTACTAAATTTGGTACAATTTGAATTGTGGGTGAACCGATAGGTTGGAATCCTGAAATTTTGATTTAGGAACACTGTGGATGTGTAGAATTGCGGTATGTAGGATTTTTTGGAAATTGTTACTACTGTGTACTAAATTTGGTACAATGTGAATTATTGGTGAACCGATAGAGTTGGAATCCTGAAATTTTGATTTAGGATCACCGTGGAGGTGTAGAATTAGGGTATGTAGGAAGTTTTGGAAATTGGTACTACTATGCACTAAGTTTTGGACATTGGTACAACTATGTACTAAATTTGGTACAAATTGAATTGTGGGTGAACCAATAGAGTTGGAATCCTGAAACTTGGATTTAGGATCACTGTGGGAGTGTATGTTTGGGTTAAGTAGGAAGTTTTGGAAATTCGTACTACTGTGTACTAAATTTGATACTATTTGGATTATAATTAAGATTTTATCTAATTCATGATTTCAATTGGATTGCATGATGTAGGTAGTAATGGAAATGTTTACTTATGTGTTCTAAGTGGTACTAAATGTGATACAAATTGGATTTAGATGAACCGATAGAATCCTGAAATTTGGAATTAAGATTGGGGTATATGGGAAGTGTTGGAAATTCGTACTTATGATTGTTAAAGTAGGTAGTTATATTGAAGCTATATTGAAATTTAGATTTTGGAGCACTGTGGGGGTGTTGCTTTGGGTTAAGTTGGAAGTTTTTGAAATTCGTACTAAATGGTACTAAATTTTGTACAATTTGAATTTTAGGCGG